TTTATTAAGTGATTGTCCCCTGAATTAAATATCTCCTTTAAAGGCTCTTTACTGTTCACTTGTTAGGTCAATATTAGAATATGGTTTAGGACCCTCATCCCTTAGTGAGCACAAATTTGTCAGTCCTTAAAGAGTGTTTTTCTCTTGTCCATAATACATCAGTCCTCCAGCTTCTTGGGTTGGTTACATTAACTAACCATAGGTGTACTAATAATCTTGGATTTTTGTCAAATTATTGTTTGTAAAAATGTATTTGCCTTACCTACTTCATCAGCCATAGAGAAACTATACAATATATTATTAAGAGATCGCTTTACCTAGTGTTCTGTATATTTCTGTCACACGCAAAGCATAATGAAATGTACTTATTAGAAAGGGGGCATGGTAAATTTGTTAACGTTACATTTTTTCGGGACCATAAACTCCGACTGATCGTAATCCGGAACTGAGTCTGTTGGAAAACACTAGTATTTGAAAAAAAACCGATATGAAATAAAGTATCTAGTGAATTTACATTCAGTAACAAATTACCTTGTTTCTTTCACTAGTAAACACATTAAAAAATCCATTTACCAGTCAAGTGGAAATCTAGTTAATTAATTTTGGTGGTCACAGGCGACCGTCAAAAATATTTACATGGATAAGTATATATGATAAAAGTAGAGATAAATTGAATACATTTTGATGGAAGAAACCACTCATTAGTGACACTTCCAATGTTTTTTTTAATTTTTTTATTTTAAACTTATATTTACATTGATCTAATTATGTATTAATATTAATTGGTATTATTAGATAGAAGATCACGGCACCACTTACGTTTTAAACGTCTGGGTGGGTCTCCAGGTATGGACAAGGTTGAGAGGTTTTTTATAAGGGGATTAGAGTGGGAGAGTAGTTTAATGTGGAATCTTTTATAGTAGGAGATAGCTATAGGAGTAGGAACACTATAATAATATTATATATTACAAATATTATTGCTTAATATAATATAGCTAACTTGGCTAAGTTAACTATAATCCCGGTCAATAAGTCCACTCGAAATTATTATTATTAATATAATATTATATGTATTATATAATAGGATAACATTATAAAAATAAATGTATTCAATAATTTTAATACAATATTTATTTGATTTAAATGTGAGAATATAATGCAATGACCCAGATGGAGGCGGGGCCCCTATCCCAACTCCAAGAGGCCCCTTTACCGGGGCATTGCACCTACTGCCCCTGCGGTTTTTGAGGCATAGGCGTATAAATAATAAATATAATATCAATAATAATATGATAATCTAGGATCCGCTCACAAATCGCTGCGGTCAAACCGCTCTGTATGAATACGTCTATTGAAAATATGCAGTTTAATTATGATGAGCGGACGCGGTCGTCGAGCCGAAAATCGCGCAAGGGACAATTTTAGCGGTTGACCGCTGCTATCAGCGGTGCGGTTTTAACTGTGTGAATAAACCCATTGAAACACGGCTGTTCAATTAACGGCGGCAAACCGCCGCGGTTTTTATCCGCGACCGCGCGCGGCTAAACCGCTCCGTGTGTGACCAGCTTTACGGCGTAGCTTGATTTTTGTTTTGTGTGTTCATAAAATAATATAACTATATCTATTTTAACGGTTTTTTTTTAACTCTATATCATAATATCGATGATATAGTGCACACTTGTTGTAACTCATTAAAACTGATATTGTTCAAGAGAGAAAATTACATTTTTTTACTTTAATATGATTGTACTACAAAGTTTTCATTGTAAATGTAAATACCACAACAAATATAAATTTGAGATTTAAAGAACTTTTACAAAAAAAAAACGCATACAATTTTCTATCTATTGGTTTTTGATAGTGTATTTTGGAAAAAAGTAGACTTATAACAAGTGTGCACTAAGCCATAAAGTTGATTTCACATCTAAGTAAAGAGTTGAATCCATCGCAATTCACCTTGGACTATTTTTGACAAAATAAAAAATAACCTGTGCAATTTACTGTGAGTATACTTTAAACTCATTTTTTAATTCTTTAATCTAATTATTTAGGCGCAATTTACAATCGCCCAACATGAGATCCCGCATTTAAGCAATAATTTCCCGTAACGCACCGATTATGGGCTTGTACGGTATTAACCGTTTTGTATTGTCTCATTGAACGTTGCACGACGCTGTATATAACATTGGGCTCGCACTGTAAATGATTGTTTTACAGACTAAACCAAAAAAAAAAATCCAAAAATCATGCTCTTCGATGGACTAACGCAAAAAAAAACAATAATATACATGCATAATATTATAATAATATATGATAAATAATCGGCCGTCGGAATCGATTAAAGCACTTTGAGCGATTGTGAGTTAACGTTCCTCCCGAAACCTGTAGGTCACAATATATGAATACAATATATAAGTATAATATGATATCTATATGGGTAAACGACTCGTCCGGACGCACGGATGTAGCTGCTGTCTCGCGGAACCGATATAACGATAATAATAATATGTGAACCGATTGTGCGCACACAAAACGAGAAAACGCGTATGATAAAATACATAGTATACAATAATAATAATAATAATAATAATAATAAAATAACACAAGTAGAATGTCCAGTGAAAGCCGATATGTCTTATTATATTGTATATGAGTAACTGCCTCGGCCGCCGCCACCACTGCTGTCCCAGAGAAATCTGACACGAATACGCCACCGAGACTCCTGCGCGGTGCTTTTAGATATCCCACATTTATCTCGATGTATAAACATTGTACAAATACACTACTCTACATAATAAATAATATATAGTAGTATAAGTGTTTTCGGAGACATAATACATAGTTGTTGGGGGGGGGGGGGAGGGAGAGAAGCATACAACGTTGATCTGCATAGTCTCTGGCTGTGAAACCAAATGGCAAATACAAATGTCAAAAAACCGTTACCCAACTTATCATCCTATCTAATGACTGGAATTTGTTTTCGTTAAAGACATAGCACTTACTTTACCCACTACTTCTATCTATATACTTACAATGTGCCACCCACTTCTACACAAATCGCAGCTACCATTCCAGCCATCATACCTGTAAATATATCTGTTCTTACTCGGTACGTATAAGTTATGTTGGAATAGGATTTTAGCTTTAAATGTTCAATTATTTCGTACACTACTCACATTTAAAATGATAATTAAAGTATCTTGAGTCTTTATTACACTTGACCACGTCTTAACATACTACCATATTGAATTATCTAAATTCTCAACGTTCTCATTTCAACGAGTTCAGCTCATACACCATTGCTCTTTATAATGTTATAAAGTTTTCCCTTAACTCGTCTTATCAAACCGCGCGCTTGCTGTGCCCTTTCGCCTCATCCAACCACGTTTAATTCTACTAACCATATCTTCTTCAATGACCTACTCCATTCTCTTGCCTCAGTGTACCCAAATATATACATATCTTTATTCTATACACCACTTGTACTCGAATTCTAGCAGGTTCTGTAACCTCTTCTAAAACTACCACGTTACTAAACAAACCGTATCCCGTTATACTTGCAATGTACTATGGACATATTATATTACATCTTCACTCTCGGTGTTACGATTTTTGGTGACCCTTTATAATTGAATCAATAAATCAGAAATAGTCTGTTGCTTAAATGTGCTTTTGAATCCTAGGTCCAAGATGAACAAATCGAGTTAGGGGGCTGCACACTATGTGTGTTTCTTCAGCTTGTTGTTGTGATACCTACTAGCGTCACGGAAGTGCCACCTATAATAGCTGTATAGATTACCCAGTTTACTGTTAATTTAACTAAGACTCCACAATTATATGTACCAAGAATATGAACGTCAAATTAGATATGGCTGCCCGTCAGAACTACCAAAGATGATTTATCAATGGAATTTGCTGGTAATGCGATTTCCGCTTGAAACATAAGCGTTTAAGTAGATTGTTATAGTAATATGATTTGGCTTTTATTTTCTTCACTCTTTTTAACGGTTTAATTCGTTTTGCATTACACGCGATTTAAGTGACCCACATTGTGGATTATAATATCATACAGGAAACCGTTAGAAAATCGAGACAGGGTGTTAACGCGCATTGTTGAGGTAACTTTAAGAAAGTTGTATAAAACTTTAACTTTGTCAGATGATATAAATGATATGTTTTATTCGACTACACGAAGTGAGTATACTATATTAACCATCAATTAACTTGCTCGACCTTGCCAGTGGTAATATTGATCGACTTATTTATGCGATCCGACGGTTTCTCTGGCTGTACCCATTACTTGGTTGTTATTGGCATCGACCGAATCGTAGTTGTCCCCGTGTGTTCTCGAGCTTATACATATTATTATTATTATTATTATGTGCAAGTGCATGTACCACTGCAGGACTGGATCTCAGACACATAAGGCGATTAGCCTTCAACGTGAAACGTTATCACGACGAGTTAACACAATGAACGACGACCGCGACGGTTGTCGAACCTGTCGGCTGCTGTTGCTGCTGTTTTGTGTGTATAATATGCATATGATTATATACTCATGTACACACACACACACATACAGCAGAATAGGCGCATTATAAATCTACATATGCGTTTTTCTACATATTATCCGCTGCTCGTCTACTGCGATTACAAATACATGTATACATGTATTATATTATACACCACATATTATTATTGTCGATGCGATTGTCGTCCGCGGAGGCCGCGTATGCATTTCGTTAGAGCAGAGAATAACATAAAATAAAAGATACCGTCCGTTCTTGCGAGGAGAACCTTGACAACGTCGGTGGTGTAATTATTAACCGTTTGTATATTGTAATATGTCCCGTGAGATGGAACGGAGAAAAAAGTCGCGTTTGGTATATTATTTTTTATTTGTATACTTTATTTCATTAAACCGGGACCGTCTCCAAGGACAGCCTTCTCGTTCGTAACGAAAGGATTATTGACGGAGTCAAAAATGAAAACTAGGCTCGTACAAGAATAATACAAAAACATATATTTACACAAAAACATAATAAAAATAATAATAAATGTATTATCGTAATAGGTACAATAGGAAAATCTCGTTTGACGATTCGTTCGTTTCCCGTTGTCGGCCGCAACCGAGTAATTAAATAACTTAAACGATACAATAAATAATTACTTAAAAATAAAAATTAATTTAAAAAAAAAAGGTATAATATGTACAAATAATGTACTTGTCAGTATACAATATATTTTATCGACTATAAATATTTATAAAATATGTACACACACTATAGGATGACTTTTTATACAAGTGAAATTTATTTTCAATTTCAAAAATAGAAAAAAATACATAGCTAAAGGAACTAAATTTGTTTATAAATAATATATATAATATTATGTTATATATTATATAATGTAATAACTAAATAGTTATTAGAGTTTATAATCGTATAACTAATCACAAATGTTATTTTTTTTTTCATTTTTAAATCATTTTACTTAAAAAAAAAATAATACATAACGTTTTCCAAATGAAACATACCGCTTGTCTATCGAATAAACAAATACAACGTTGTATCGCTTTGCCAGCGAGAGTAAATAATTTATAAAAAAAAACAGCATTCCATACTTTGGGAACACTTATTCAACTGTGTATTATATAAATTAGACAATTACTATTTAATTTGTAAATTATAGCTATTATACATTTTTTTTTTAAAGAATACATAAGTTATAATTATTAGTTAAAACTTGTGCTATCTATAAATAGATAACACTCGGGCTATGTAATATTAAGAGTAAAGCCTATGAAATATTTATTCTATATTATACAATTATACATTAATAAGAATATTACTATTTATTTTATGATACTTTAGTGAATATTGTAAAACTTTGTATGCGAGTGCTGGTGCAAAGGAATTGTATTATATTATCATAAATATCATTAAAGCGAGAAACAAACAGAAACAGACACGAATATAACATAGATTGGGCAAAAGGTAGAAAAACAGAGAGACAGAGAGAGAGAGTTTAACGAAGAGACTTACGTTTATGCGCGTACAATTAGGAATGGACGAACGGTGGGGTTGGCCGGTTTGGGGTACGCTTGTCCGCTTTTCTCACAGGCACGTGTTAATGGTTTTCCGGTACTGGCAAATGTTGCATTTGACCTCGCAGCACCACAGGAAGGTGCAGTTACACCGTTCCGACACCAGAGCCTGGTGGGTTTTGTAACCGCGGCCGCAGCACATCAGGTCGCAGCCGTCCACACCGATGGACGATTCGTTGCAAACGCGTCCGTGCGTGCCGAGTATGCCCAGCCGAGAGTTTGGTTCGCAAAAGCCCGGCGACGGTTCCAGGTACACCAGGTCCTTGGTTCCGGGCGCCTTCAGTTCCGGGTTGTACGGTTTCAGCTGGAAGCTGTACCGACTCCTGCCACCGCCACCGCCGTTATCGCCACCGTTTCCGACTCCGTCCGCGCCGGCGTCCAGCTGACCATGGTCGTCTCGGCCGCCGTTCAGGTCGTCCGACAGCGCACGGTGTTCGTAGTGCTTGTTTTGCGCGTTGTCCTTGCGACGGAGACGCCGCAGTCCGCCCGCGTTGCCGACCATCACGCGGGACGCACCGTCGAACCTGTCTTTGAGGTTGTCGCCGATCAACCGGAAGTTGGGTAGTCTCATCCAGCACGTCTTGACCGTGCACGAACCGGACATACCGTGACACTTGCACTCTTGTTTCATCTCGGACTGAACGTGCTGTGAACACAAAAGAAAAACATTCAAGATTAGTTAAAATATGAATTAAACGTTACCGAAAGCCACAAAATGATGATGATAATAATAATAATAGGTATATAATATCAATGTCAATAAACATGGAAGGTGGTCATTAATAATAATAAATAAGTACACTCGTCAATTGTTTGTCAAGCCTTATTCGTATTGACACTAATGTATACATGTAAATTTTCTTTACTCCTGCCTACGTTGAAACGCTTAAGGAATTATTCGATATTGGGATTGATGTTGCGTAACAGCAAATAACTCTTCTAACGACACGTTCGCATTTTTTAATTTTAATCTAGCATATTCTTGAGAATATTCAATAGCCTTTTAGAAAATCACAACACACATGGGTGATCCTATTGCGTATACCTATACCGATATATTTTACCGACCACTGCGAATATTATGATAACTATAGCCAACTCTAATCGGATGCCGTCATAATATCAGTGCAATTAGACCGGACGTGGCATAACAAGTTGTCATGGACTGTGCGATCATACGGAACGTCAAACGAGGACCTGAGGGACAACGTGCGATAAGATATAAAAGCCTATAGAAACGTCATGTTTCCGTTGCGGATCATATAATTGACAGTGTCAAACGCGGGGTGAAAGCTAAAAAAATTATTGCCGGCGTATTGTAATGTCAATTATTCTACACGTATACCGGTCGGTGTTGTAACGTGATGCCGACCAGTGGCATGCCAAAGCAGCAGCAGCATAATATTATTATACCTAGCAAATACACATTATAATAATATAACATATACAGTGCGGTTGCCCGTCGCCTCGTTCTCTCCACCCCCGTTGCGGACTCGAATCTCGTTCGTGCAAAGACAATTGCAGACTGACGATCATCGATCAAAGCTGCGCCGGACTGTCTTAATATAAATTTATTGAACACGCCGTTTTCAATGGGCCCGATTATCTATTATATTATGCCTCTTCGTTGGTGACCGTTTTCGCGACATCATCACTCCTTCCTTCCGACCGCGCACACCGGAGCTGTTCTTCTCCGCTATATTATTATAGGTACTATGTCGGTTGTTTTTTCTTCTACTTGTACCCCGTCCGTTGCATTTGAATTTATACCGCTCGCTCGCATTATTATCTTATATTATTTCATACCCGCGCGCCTACGCTTAGTGTATACACAATAGCCGCAAAGCACTGTCACCGTGTGTCTCTTCTATACCGCTGTATCATGTCCGCCAAGTGACCGGTCGCTGCCCGGGAATTCCAACGGCCGACCGTGATAGATAACAAAACGGTTATTAATTAAAAGCAACAGCGCGTCTGAGTGCCAATTAGCATATGATGTCAAAACAACGGTATCGAATCAGCTAAAAGTGTGTACGTGTAGGAGCCATCGCAATCGCTTTTATATTAGTTGAGTGTTTAGAGAGACAAATACCTTACAGTCTGCTCGACTGCGCGGTAAGCAATTCGATCAGACAACGCGGCCGATAAGAGGGAATAAAATGTGTTACATTCCATTTGGCTTCCTCAGTAAAAGGCATTCTACAACGCGAATTCGGTTTTATCATAGAACTCGCTTTGTGTACACGTCCCGAGGTCTACGAATAATTATTATCCGAGTTGGACTATACCTATATTGTATTATGTGTTGGAGTATAAAAGTTTTGTTTGGGCCATTGGCTGGAATCGGGGGAAGGGGGGGCTTTGAATACTAAATCCCTTGAAACTTAAAATTAGTGTTTTTCAAAATACCGACTTACAGTAAAATCCCAAAGTTGAATTTTGACATATAAAGTACAATATATAAAATATATAGGCGTATGCCTTCATAATATTACAGGGCTATATTATCATTATTATATTTGTTTGGCCGGCCAAAGCTCGCGCAGCGGCAGCCATTGCGGCAGTGGTCGGCGAGCACAACGCGTGTGGGTGGCCCGTCGTTTTGGTCACGGTACTGCGAGCGTAGCGAAACCGGCCGCTTATTACTATTATACGGTTATCGTGCGAGCCGCTTACGCGGCGGCGGCGGGTACGGCACACGCGGTCATCGTGATGGATGCCGGTCACGTCGTACGGCGATGCCCTGCCCGCGTTTCCCCTCCAACGTTCGGTTACCCACCTCTCACGACGGCGTTTAATAAACATGAATTATATACCGCGGCCCGAACGCGGTTCTCGTGTACGCGCACACAAATCTATTTAGATACAGTTCCCGGTTCTCTCACGCGCCAGGACCACACGGTGTCGGTGGAGAATATCAAACGTAATATATTACGTACGTTAGTCGAAAAACCAAAACAATGTAAACGCGCGTTATATTGTATCGTGCGCCCCCGCTGCTCCACCGCGCCGCTTTCTACTTGCATAATATAACTAAATCTAAAACGTATAAACGACCTCCATTGAGTCGCGTTTTGATTTGTTTTTTGTTTTTAATTATCCGTTTAATTTACGGCCGGTGGTGTACCTACATGGTCGCCAAAAATTTGAAATTTTTTGATATTTTCGGCTACGCGGTGTTTGACCAACAGCAACGCATTATTGTCGTGGTTATTATGCCGCGAACCGGTAGTTAACGGCAGCAACACGCCGGCACCGCGGTAGAGGATTAGACGCGTTATACAAAAATGAATAATAAAAACCGCATACCAAACGACTAATCAAACTACTATGCGGCGGGGCCGTTCATGCGACAAATATCTGTTAAAACGTTTTTTGGGAAAATTTCCCGACGCTTTTGTGTTCCCCGCCACACCGGCTTGGTCTGGACCGGTACTGCAACGCTGTATAATATTAATATTATATTGTTTGTACAGTGCAATAGCCGCCACAACATATTATTATTGTATAAAAAGAAAACATTGTACGAGAAAAATTGTTCAAGTTGCCGTAGCCGTGTGTCGAAAATCTATTTATTTACTACAGGGATTCTTTTTATAATTCCTTATAACCCCCGTCGACTTAGTGAATAAATGCCCGTACAGGCCGTTGTGGAAGTTACCCAGAGATATTGGAACGTATTTGCAAACGGAAAATAAGTCAAAGACCTGACACGATAGTGATATTTATGATTTTCTGGGGTTCGTACCAATTAGGATATTCTATATATTTTTAGTTCCAAGCCAGTTTTATAACATCAACGTGCACTCACCATTCGACCGGCTTCGTTGTTGTGTAGATTCATTTTCTCACGGAGACTCCGACCCCGTTCGCCCGTGTCCACGAACATTCTGGCGAACTTGTACCCAAAGTCTATGTTGTCCGAGCAGCCTCCCCATTCCCAGTCCTTGACGCCGGGCACCGAGTTCTGTATGTAAGGGCCTCGTCTTTGGTGGGTAGTGTCGCACGTGCACGTCTCGATCACACCCTCGGCACAAGCCCTGGACACGGCGTGCGTTACACCGGCGCTGGTGATGGCGTAGATGAACGCAGTCTCTCTGAAACCTGCAAAAGACAATAATAATAATAATATGAAACATGATGTATTTTATAACGATAATAATAATTTTCCTATACAGTAATAATAATATGTTACACGACGTGATAATAGACATTTTAGCGACAAATTCTGCACGTGAATGGACGGGGGGCCGAAAACCGTCGACGACCACCCCCGTTCGAACGGGGCGAAAAAAAAAGAAATCTAATCGCAAGATTAAGCGCGTATAATAGACATTATAACGATAACGGACGGGCGTTTCACGTATACGAGACGGGAGCATCCGTAACGCACCGTGGGAGCGCGTGAACAGCCCTACCTATAGACTATATGTATAATATATGGTCTATTTTGTGATATATAATATGTATGTATGTATATATTATTATTTTACAGTGTACGAGGACCGTCACGGTCGATACGGTCGGTCGGACGGCCGAGCCACCAACGCTGCGTTGCGAATCGCCCAAGAAAGAGGTGAAGAGGAATGGGGAAAAAAAAAAGTAAAAGAAATAATAATAAAGAAATCATCCCTCGCCCGCAGGTAGTCTTCGCGCGCACTACGGCACTAACTGTGCGTTATGAGTTTTAAAGAATATAATATATTATACAGCAGAGAAAATCATATATATCTCTCTCTCTCTCTCCTCCATTCCGGACAAACGATGACACCCCCCCGCGGACGCCGGGCTGACGATACTTATGTATATATATACGTATAAAACGTGTACATTATACGTATACAATAATAATATAACAACAACATAATCTCCGGCTGTCCATTGTGTCACCGTCACCACCGCGGGCCGGACAAACCACATACAGGCGCTACTAGTATTTTTCGCGTCCGCCTCCTTGCATCCTTCGACCCGCGATCATCGCCCTGTCAAAAGTTTCCGTCTACCAGCGGGGTGTACGGATATAATATATATATATACATATACATTGTTCTCTGGGGACGTTTCGCTCTGACGGACGATAATCGGACATAATTACCCGTGGAAAAGGGCAAAAAAAAAATGTATAATATATTACAGTGTCAAATATCTTGGCAGGCCCTCTCAATGGAAACACTAAAGTAGCCGTGCGATTTACGGGAAAACGGTAACAATAGTTAGCTGCCGGGAGACGTATGAAATCATCGTGGTAAAATAAGTAAGTAGCTCTCACACACACACACACACACCCTTGCCTTGCCCGACAATTATTACAGTGGACCGGATAACCGTACACTGTGGTCCGGTGGTAGTGATCGCAGCAAGGAATGCACAATATTGGAAAAAATGCAAAAGAGACTTTACCTCGGAATTCATTTTGATCCAGCAAAGTCAATTTGTTTTTTTCCCTTGCGGCCGACAAACAATAATAATTATTATTCGACCGGTTTCTACTGCGAGGCTCTGGCGGAAAGTCTTTCTATATAATATTATTATTAGGTATAACTACAATCTTAAGTCTCGTGTAATAAATAATACACACTGTCGGCGGCAGCCGACGAATTCGTTACTCCACAGGAAACCCCACGACGACGACGACGACGTTATTAGTCTACTAATAATCCACATATTATAATAATATAATATATTATATTATTATTATCATTATACCGGCGACCGTGTGGTCCGTTTAGTGTCAACACCATGCGCTTAAACTCCTGGCCGTCGAGCTCGCCCCCACGCGACACTTATTCCCATAAATATGTGATAGGTAATAATTCTATCCACAGCAACCCCAGGCCTATCCAAACAGTTGTATACACACACAAACACACACACACAAGAAAACTGTAGTGGCACACGTATTCTCTGCTAGTAATAAAAACGTTCTCAGCAAAAAAAACACACATCAGAGTAAAACCAATACCTTCTCCGCTTTGCATCGAAGCTAAAATGCTATTAAAAAATATTTCTGTTTTTTTTTTAAGTTAAAAGATAACAACATGAGAAAATTCTTAAATCATTAAAAACAAAGTACCACCGGTTAAGCACTATACGACGCTGAGAATCACGATGACACTCACGACTGTTTTTCAAAAATTATATATATACATGTTTTTTGCTTGGAGTGTTGGAAATTATTTAAAATTATACATTTAAATCAAACCAAACGATCACTGCATACAGCTGATATAGATGAACCAAATGATTACCCCCCCCACCCATTCTTTCAACGTTGCATACCTAAAATATATATATTATTATAACTATACAAAGTTATATAACGTACCCGTGATAATTATGACGAACATATTATTTTACTGGATAGAGGATGTTATATGTTTTATGTTGTTAATAATTATTACACGAGATACGCATCTAATATGATACTATGCCAAAAAATATTTTGAATATTATATTATTATGTAAATACATACAGAGGCTCTAGAGTTTGACGGTAATAAAGTTAATGTGATAAACGCTGTATGTATATGATGATAATATGATGATGTTATGGAAATTAGCGCATGGACTGTCGTGACGGGTTTGGGCATTGAAATTTATCACCGCCCGTGCTAGAGAAATTATTAATATAAATTATTATAATATGATAGTATTTTTTTTTACTCGTCGTTGGCTTAAAAAACATGTAAAACGGACGTTAAATTATTGTTATTATTTTTAGTCTTCCGACATCCGTACGGAAATATTATGGCGACCACAGTGGTCTAGCATTGCCGACTCGTCCAGGCCGTTGACTGTTGACATTACCGGCGTTTATGCTGATCCATCTCACTTGAATAAGTGGCGTTTATTTTACAAACTTACAGACACACGCGTGTCACATTCTACCGCGCATTATTGTCGAATAATTATGTAAAATATAAAATTAAAAAAACCGCACCGACTACCGAGTGTCCAACACGTGCGTGTATGTGTATTACACGGTGATTGCAATCGTTATTAACTCTCTCAGCTGTGTTTTTGTAAAAAAAATAAATTGTACATGATAGCGCCATAGCGGTGTATGCGTACAATACATGCATGTGGTAGCCGCGAGAACGGGTTAATAAAAAACATAGTAAATATACACACCGACGACACCACTGCAGGCGCCCCAAAGAGGAGTGTCAGTGACGAGGAGGTCAATGTGTGTACGACAAAATAATATGCTTTAAATATAGTTACACTAAATTAACTGCAGAGGTTGATGCGGCTTATGTTAACACTACGCCTGTGTTTTAGTCGAGTGACTAAAACATTTTATGTTTTACTGTATAGCTAATCGTAGAGCGAACAGACCATTTCAGCCGAGAATAGTTTAGTAATGTACCTAATTTAGTTAGACAAGACAAGTTGACTGTCAGAACAACAAATCACTATCTATTTAATGGAAACGAAATGAAAAATAGATAAGTAACCGTAGATATCTAGAACATCTTACACTACCGTTTACTTATTTACTAAAAACTGTGTTTCCACGCTCTTAAGTGTTTCGTACTTCGTAAATCCTAATAAAACACTGTCGTAGTGTGAATTAAACTTAAGACGGAAATAATTGTAGATGCAAAGGGTTGACGCGCTCAAAATGATTTATCGGTAAATAAGAAGAGCCTAGATAAAAAAAAAAAAATGTTAGTGCTCAATACGGAACCCTACTATTGCGAGTAAGTCAAACGGTTTGAGTATAGATAGTGTTTTTATTCGGACAACCTCTAGTGCCCACCCCCTTCAAAAAAAAAAAAATTAAACAACAAAACTAGTCCCAGGTCATCAGCGAACATTTTTCCTGGGTAAAAGCTTTTGATGTTTTATCTATAACTTGCGGTGTAATTTATATATGGAAATAAGTACAAATGCTGCTATTTAAAGCCCGTCCTTACCGCGGTCGACGATTTTGCCGAACAAATTCTTGCCGGTCAAGAAGTTTTTGGTGGAACAGTTCCACCGTCTATTCCGGAACTGGTGTTGGCATTCTTGTAGCGCCATGTTGACGCCCCGGCTGATAGCCAGCTGAACGCCCGGGTTTTCGCGTATCATCCGCCTTTGCTTGTTCCTCAAAAGTGTCATCGAGGAAGCGTCCATGAACATAAGACCCGGAGTGACGGAAGTGACTGGCGCCAGATTATTCGGTTCGCCAGCTTTAGCGATGCCCCTGTGGAATGGAGAAAACCCAATTAGTTAATTATTAAAAAAACAGATAGAGTAATACAACAATAACATAATCGTAACACACATTGTGGGTAAATGTGTCTTTTTTTTGTAAAACATAGCTTACGGTTATAGTCGTCGGAGACGCTATTATCACGTGTAGTACATATTATTATAAATATTACTTCACACAGAACCAAGCGACGTCACTTTTCAAGTGGCTCCTTTACGATCCCAACGACCTCTCGCGTGCTACAGCCTGTGTGTGTGTGTGTAAGTCTGTGTCAGTGTATATAAGTGCATATAATATGTGCACAGGGTACATCATAATATTAATATAACCGATAGCCGTCACCGTCTTGGATGACAACAGTATATTATGTCAACAACACTTTGACGACGGAGTGATGTGCAACTCCTCGAGAGTGAATAGGACGACGGATTATTGACGTGCCGGCTGCGGACAATGTGATGTGACTGGCCGAGTATAAATACTTGTACGAACAATATATACCTATGCATGTGTGTGTGTGTGTTTAAGTATTTAGTAGAGAGTACTCGAGATGTATATTTGTATATTGTGTACATCATGTCTGGCGACGATCGAGATGTCGCGTTTTATAATGGACAAACACGGCGACACTCCGTAAATAGTATTATATTATTATAATTATTGTCCACATTTACTTTTAGCATTTGGTCGGATTAAGTTGTAAACAAAATTAAACGTTGTGGTGCGTGTACTCGCGTTAATATAAATCTGTTACCGAAGCTTTGTGAAAAATGCGATTGCCAAACGGGGCGCCACCTCGAGTGCTGCTGACGACACCGCAGTCAAGTATTACTGTATGTAACCGTACTAATGTTTATCAATCGATTTTTTTGTTTTTCGGAGTTTCAAAGAAGTTACAAGAAGGATTTTTTTAAACAAAGGTAAAAAGACCTTTCGCGTCAGACGCAATTGCAATGGCCGCCGCCGATGAGAAAGTTGTCCTCACGCTGTTAAATAGCGTGGCCAATACTCGTGTACAGTTGAACGGTTCTGTGTTTTTGTGCAATTTTCGAGACAGGACCGAATACATAAGTGTCGTAATACTAGATAAAAGCAATTATTTAGTGAGAGTTTTTTTTACGCGTCCAGAGCATGCAAACACTGTACGCGCGGACGTGACAACGGCGTAATTTAGTAAATTTTTATTTTTAATAAATATATATAATATTTTTTTTTTCGTTTCTTAAAGAAGGCGATTATTGTACTACCTATACCTAGGCACGACGATATTATAACTGTTGACGCGTTCAAGAGATAAAAGATAAATCGGCAACGGCGGTGGCGGCGTCGTAGGAATGTGTCCGCGGTAGACGTTTACTCGTGTATAAACGAAAAAAAAATGTACCATACACACACATAATATACATATGTACATATATAATAAAGGCGGGCAAAGTGATATTATATTCATAACTCGTTTTCTTCTTCTCTCTCGCTCTCTCTCTGGTTGCTACATCTGTACGGGTGTATTTATTTTTTTATAAATTTGTTTTGTTTTTGTCCGTTCAGGTATAATTTATGGTATCACCACCGGACACTTTATACGAGGCTAGCTCGGTGTTCTATCTAGCCTGTCGTTGCTATGCTATCAGCTCTTCTCGATCATCGGCCACAGTTGTCGCCGTGGGAATAATCGCCGTACACTCTCCTTCGACCCTATTCCGGTCGACATTTTTCCACATAATAATATTTTGTCGTTGTTTTTTATACATTTTTTTTTCTTACTAGACCTCCTAATGTCGTTTATCACTCCTTTCTCACTAGATCTCTCTCTGTCTCTCTCGCTCGTTCTTCCATATCTATTTAGTGCAAATAATTTAAACATAATATACAATTTGGACGTATACACATGCCTTTTCTAGCACTTTATTACATTTCATGGGATCAAATGGGAAGGATATTCAAGGAAAACGTTTGACGTATAATATTAAGGTAGATTGTAATGTAATAATAAATATATACACAACGGTCGTAATTAACAGTAAAATGATTGTCTTGATATTTAACGTCGTTCATTCGTAATGAACGAATTCTTAAAATGGTAACCGGCGGCCGGGTCGGTGGTGTCATTAGGGTCGGTCTAAGTTCGGCGTCGTTTGCTCTCAAATTAAAAAAAAAAAAACCCAAAAAATAACCGCCCGGACCTGTGTAGCAAGTATGGGTATATACTGCCTATACGTTTATTAGGTCTTGAGTAGCTTACTGCTTACCCGTTGTCCTGCCGGTTATTATTAATTAACAAAACAGTACAGAGCAGTTTTTTTCGGCGGCGACCGAGCGTCTTATAGAGTGTACCGTAATTAGTATAGTATAGTGTATTGGTGGCCGGCTAAATGATTATTACCGCGGACACGTGCATATACGGCAGTTCAATCATATAGTAGTAATAATAATAATTATTCTTAGTTTTTTTTTTCGAGTGTTCGGGTCGTATATACCTAATATATATTATGATCGTCGTCGATTAACCCGGAAAAGAAGGATAGCCCGACCGAGTATACGAGGGGGGGGGGAGAAGAGGATAGCTGTAATAATAATGTATATAGAAATCCATATAAACGTTTCGACTTACGACCGGGGTTGCGTTTTTTAGTGTGTGTGTGTCGCTGGGCCGTGAGAAATTATTACATTATATATTAATATCATCGTTACTACCATTATTATTATTATTATCGCCTGTATAATAATATATTATCATGTCGAGTGTGAATAGTGATTTTTCTAAGCGACTTCAACGACACACGCATAGGAGACGCGGTTATATTTTATAATTATTTTTACTCGCCGCCGGAATGCAAAATATTGTTAAGTCTGCAAAGATTGCATAAACAATAGTATTGTTGTAGAATTTTGTATTTGTTTAAATACGACATTTTTTTGTACTATGTTTAAGATATAGTAATAATAATACCTAAGCGGAGTGTTCTGGATAATGTGAACGCACCAAGTGATTGGGTTTCTTTTTTTTGTACAACGTACTGTACCGTTTACTTGGGCTTCTTATCGGTGCGCAAATTGATATCAATAGGGTACCCCGGTGCCATTCAACAGGCTCGTTCCTGTATTGTTAAAATATAACATACAATGGGCCTTTCGCGAATCTATCTAGACGGTATTTATATATACAGATATTACAAAACAGTCTTACCCTTGCCCCAGGTATTATTCTCGTTTATGTCCTCCTCCTATTTAAATTGTATACGTGTTTTCACCCTTATAATCTATGTACGTCATATACCGAGTGATCCATTTAACGTAGGGCGTTCTTTTTTTTCGGTAAAGAAGTATTTTATTATTTTCCAAAGCCCTTATCAAGTTTTGAAATTTTAATGAGAACGTATGAATTTAATTAACTTATAAAAAGAAAATATAAAAATATATAAAAAGAATAACTTGTCAATATTTTGAGTGGTCGATAACCAGTTTTGTATAATTACTTTAAAAACTATAAATGTTTAATGTTTATGTGCGGTTGAGAGTGCAGATAAAATAATAATACATTCCACTCTTCCCCCGTTCTAAAACTTAAGCTCCAAATACTTTAAAAGTAATTATTCAAAACTGGTTATCAACTAGTCAAATATGTCAACAAAATATTATTCTTTTTTTAAAAAGTTTATTAAATACAATACGATTCCGTTTAAATTTTATAAGTCGATAGTGCTCTGGAAAATACTAAAAAAGATAAATATTTGGTAATTTTTATAAGAGTGTACAATAACATAAATAAAAATGTTTTCTAAAAGAAAAACTATAGAAGTAGGTATAATAATAATTGTTTCCAAGAAAATGAGTGTCTTCCGTTAAATGAATCACTCTGTATTGTACTATCGCAGTAGACAAATAAACCCTATCGAGATGATTCACATTATTAGTATTGTTCCTTCCGGTTTCTAAGTATATCCCGGGTTGAGTCACCCTAGATCGTCTTGTCGTACATTGCTATTATAAGTGTATGATTATCGTAAAACCATCATCCTAATGTGACATGAATTTATTACAATCATAAAAATCGCATACAATCGAATTTCCATAAATATAAAGAAGCCCAACAAGATTCTTATCGCCGATATAATATTGTACTAAATAGAGATAGCATTTAGTGCTTCGATAATTTTGTAATATTGTATTATGATTTATGATGATTCTTAAAATTTAATAATTAATTTGAACATTTTTTAACCCACATAACTATCAAGTTGGCCCTAACGTTTTCATGTTTATTTTGGTAGATAAAGTGTGGATATTTTAAATAAAAGAGACACATTAATTAATATTTTATTTATTAAATCTTGAGTTTTAGTTTTAAAAAAACAAACATTTATATTATGTTCTTCGCATTCATTTGAACTTACACAATAAATTATATTTTAAAATTGTATTTGAAATGTCAATTAAAAATACCTTGTAAACATAAAACCATAAATACAAATAAATGAAATAATTTAATTTTAAAAAAATTTCGTCTTTTTTTTTTTGCAACAAAATACCTATACATATTATTGAAGTTTTAATGTTATAAATACGAGTACAATACAAAATTTAATTAGAAATGCCAACGTAACAAATAACAAATTCGTAAATGAAGATACTATCTTGATGAAATTATCTATTTATACACATTTAAACAAACAAATTGTATTATTAGTATTGAATGTGATAAGAAAACGCTTATTTAATACTTTTTTTAAATTTAATAATTAACTATATAGTTTGTCATAAATATTTAGATATTTTACAAGTAAAGTTGTTTTTTTTAAATTTAATTTATTTATTTTTCGTACGATTCGGATGTTAACATACGCTAATGTTAGGTTTTTTGTGCTTATTCCACGTGGCCTTTGTAAGCATTAGGTTGATTTCAATTAAGTTAATCAGCCTATATCTGCTATTACAATAATAATATTATTCTGTACCGAATGGTAGAGAATTCGACAAACCGACGATATTTAACTGATCAGACGATGTTATAGTGTTTAATAAATTTTATAATAAACGTATCGTTGCCATTTAAAATGAAATAAAACGTTTACTCACCACCAGTGCGTGCCTTTGTATTTGCCTTCTCTGTGTTTGGCGTAAGCCCGGGAAATCTCGTCCAACACAAGGCCCAAGATAATCGTATTAATCACTAGTGACGCCTTCATGTCATCACATGTCTAACTCCACTGTAATTTTGTTAAAAACCCACGATTTTCAGGAAAAAAAAAAAAAAACAACACCCGGACGACGACAATGCGACGAACCGAATTCAACGCAAATTTGATATCACACGCGAACACCACGACCGAAGTCAAACGTTTTGCAATATTTTCAACGCTACGTGGTCTATCTTATGCGGTAGATAATATTATTTTGTCTTTTTTAAAAAAAAAAAAATCTATTATATTCTATTTCTATTCTGGTTAACGCACCCCGGTCTGGCGGAGCAGGACAACTGATCGTGAATGAGATCAACGGCGACCAGGAAAACCTTGGACCGCATCGTCCTCCTACCTCTTTCGGCGCGTCCGCCCCGTTGTGGACCACGTTGGATCCACCCGCACGTCTCGATCTCGGTGGGCGGATCTCCCGGCCCGGCTGAACCGCAGCGACCGCCCATGTACCTCTTTTCCTTCTTCACAACTCACAACGAACATACACACACACATACATTAATACACACATGTACATATAAAATCCTATCACCAATACCGATACTTAAAATCCTCTATATAGATATATACGGCCGCTTTTTGGCGGACAACACGCGTAAGTATACCGCATGTGCACACGGCTATATAATATTATAATATATTGCCACTTTGTTATATTATAATACGCGTATGTACAAAAACTACTTACAACAATAATAATATTATAATATGATATGATAACTCGGTATTGTTAACGTTTCTTTTATGTAAATAACAAAAAACATTCTATTCCTTGTTTCTATATTATATTATGTAAAAAGAATTCGTTATTTTTTACAAATAGTTTTGAAAATCTATCGTCGATGCGTATTATATCACATACTAATTACTAGTAGTATACGAATAATAAATATAAAATGGCGCATATTGGAAAGAATGTACTCCACGTCTAGACACGCCACTTAATAGAAATAAATAGGTAAATGATAAAAACTCTATACTCGGGACTTTTGCTGTATACGGTTTCACTGGTTTAGTTTTCCACTTCACTATTTTCCTCAACTAGTTTTTTTACTATCCACATGTTCGCACCGAAGTGTTTGTTTTTGATTAAATAGATAGATTAAATATTTTGTCTTTATCCTTTTTTTTTTATTATGAGTTTTTATCACTAAACATTCGGAGAAACATACAATATGTTACTTGTTAGAGAAATAAACATAGAAAATTAAGGCCAATTATTATCAACAATCAGGCGCTAGGTTGCCTATAAACTATATTGTAATACCTACCATTCGGAACTAAATCTTAATCAAATAATAACCATACAATTTAAACGAAATAAGAATGATTATTTATACATAATAATTATTATAAAAATAATTAACTTTGCATAGGTATTCAAACAGAATGGGAGAATTACAATTTCTTCCAATATTTTCCAATTTACAATACTGTGTTTGTTATAATATACATATTATATATTATGTATACATAATAAATATGTACAACTTCGAATAATGTACAATGCATGCGTGCTATTAAAAAATACGCCGTACATTTTGCAACTACATAATATATCAGACTTGAGGCTTCACGCGTATAATATATTATTATTATGTATGTATACCTATCACAAGATACTTGGTTGTTCGCCCTATCTGTCCGGCCGCCTCCGGAGTAGAAGTGTAATTTCATTAGGGTTTTTTCCATCACCTTTTTTTTTTTTTTACTCTTTCATTGTATGCACACTCTTGCCGCCGCTGACCACGAAAAACACATTAAAACGCCTTGCGACAATGCTCATACAGTGTGTATGCAACAATGTGTTAAGAAGAAGAAGAAGAAATAAAATACTAATAACTATAATATTACCTACCTCCATCGCCGTGCGAGCAATAAACGGTGTGAATACAATAACTATATTGTTGCATAATATACAATATATACATTATACATACACACATACATACATACATACATTCTTTTTATATTTTTTTTATCACAGCCGCACTCGGACAGATATATGCGCTGATATTACACACATCTTCTATTAATTATTGTGTGTTCCGGTCACGCGTGCTTGACGACGGTCTACACTTATAGTGTTACTATATTTATATGTACGTGTGTATCTCAGTTATTCATTTTCTTTTATGACCGCGACCCGGGTCGAGTAAGAACGCATATCGTATCATGGAATACGTTATTTTATAGTTTTCTCGAGAATAGAGTTTGTGGCAAAATTTAATTTGTCTGCTGTTGTTAATGGCGTCATTTCAGTTTTCGAAAGGGGGTGGCAAATATTTTGGCAGCCCAATACCCATATAGCTAAAAAAAACATGTTTACATCCATTAGGTGTCAAAATTTGATATAACATTAAATAATTTTTTTTTAATTTATTATATTTTAATTGTTTCAACATAATCTTGTTTTTACAATATATTAATTAATAAGTTACATAATTAGGTAGGCATAATAGAGTAATAAAATAATTTATAAATTATTTTAATTTAGCAAATTGTACATAAATTATGAGTTGTTTTAATTAGGTCATTAATCTGATGATACCGATGATGAAGATGACGATGATGATTCTGGAGGTAGTAAGATATCTTGTCGGAGACGTGGCTTTAGTCGGCGGTTTTTGGTTCTTTTCCCAATTTTGAAGTGAAGGGCTCCTTCTATTGTGTTTAGTTTCGAATGAAATTTTTTAAATTGTTCATTTATCCATGTGGTTAGGTATGGTATTCCAGTGTCGTTGTGGAGTTGTGTGTTTCGCATATACCATGGAGCTTTAAGAGCTATTCTGAGAAATTTGTTTTGTATCGTTTGTAATTTTGTAATTTTTGTTTGGGATGCGGCTGCCCATATAGGGCATGCATATGTTATTAAAGGTCTTATTATTGAAGTGTATATTATAAGTGAGCATTTGATCTGAAGTGTAGAGCTGTAATTAATTAGGGGGTATACGATTTTCAATCGTGTGTATGCTTCGTTTAACTTTTTATTTATGTGCATTTTCCATGTTAATTTTTCATCAAGGTAAACTCCAAGATATTTAATTGCTTGATTAAATAATTTGAATAACGCTTAAAAACGTAAACATTTTGTGAAATATTGAAATCACGTTGTATAAAAATTCAATTACTATAGCTGTTAAACCCTAATATATACATACTGAGTGGATCACTTAAATAAATCATCCTTTATACTATTATATAAGCGTAAAAAGAGTGTTACTTCTTGATGTTAAACGATAACTGGATCTGTCTAGGTCTCATTTTGCCAAACATAATACCAATAACTTGGTTTAGCTTTATTTTTGAAAAAGTTTATTTCTCCACAGCTGTTACATGCGAGTACATGGCTAAGCCTTCCATCGTAAATTATTGTTAATCTTAAAACGTTCATTCGATGCAGTTGGCTGATAAACTCAAGATGGTAGTTATCACTTATTATTTGAGAGTTTCAGGAAAATCATTAGGAATTGTATGAAAAGAAAAAAAATATTGTGAATATCATCCATAGACAGACTTGATATTATGTAATGAAAGGGCCGTGCATATTATGGGCGACAGACAATTTATAACGATTAATCAAGCTTTATATATTATGATGAAGATACAGGAAAGAAAGAGCTAGTTTGCATAAAATTACAATACTGAAACATATGCCCAACTTAGCTCTCTCTCTCACAAATATCTTGGTAACCTTGTCTATGATAGAGTCATGAAGGAGTTTTCAGATATTTTCAATAACTAATTGTCTAGTACATATAGGTGCTGCGTTGGAGATCGAATGTTGTAACAATGCATAAAAAATAATCAATGGTATTATGATTCTCGGAATGATTTACATTCAAACACAGTGTGTAGAAATATTTAAAATTAGTGTGCATACCTACACACATAGGTATATGTATATAATATATAGAATGAATAATTCAGGTACAATAAGCTTACAAAACAATGATTATTGATTAACAATATGCAAAGTTAGCCGTAACTTACATTAAAATATACGGCCATCTTTATAAACACACAATATTAATAAATCACTCATCTAAATGAGTGTTAACGAAAAATGATTATCTCTAGATTAAAGTTAAAGTGATTTGAATGTAATATTTCCGCAATCTGTGACCCACACTGTTTTGGGACTTACCTGCGACGGGCGAAGATCTAGCTTCAATTTAATACAGCATTTTTTTCTATTATAATATCTTGTCACTATGGCGTTGTGTATTCTGTAAAATATAACATATTATGCAACCCAAGCAATTATTTGTTGTTATAGTAGCTACATAGTTTATTTCTTGAAAGTTGTTTAAAAGTACGTTCAACGTAACTCATTTCCGAGTTGAAGCCTCAGAATTAACAATTGGAAACATGATAAAACTGTTTGATTTAAGTCTACCTATATAGTTTAGGCATACTTAACACAAAAAGAAATACAAAATAAACATCGAAGACGATCACCGTTAAGACCAAAGCAAGAAGCCAAAAAAAATACATTTTATAGTTACATGAAAAATAGTAAGAACAAAACAATAACTCAAAACCAATTGCTGTTGTCGATTGCGGTTTATTTTAACAAGTTATTGGTTTCCAACCAGTGATTTGATACTGAAACATAATTATATTTAACTATTATATATAAAGTATAGCGTTTATTAAGTATAGCGTTTATTTGAAAATTTACAATCTAAAATATGTTTATTTATGTTTTTGATTATAATATTAAATATAAAGAAAGTTAACGTGTTTATGTATATACTTCTCTCACGTCGTCCTGCCACTAAAAAATGTTTAACAAATTTACTTATTGTTTTAATATTACAGATTGTACATATATTTTTAATTAAAAAAAAATACACTTTTTAATATACAGGGTGATCCATCTTATTTAACACACTCTTTTTCTCAGAAGATATGAATATTTTGTAAATACTTTTTTTTTATAATATATTCGTATAGGTACATATTTTACTATACTTTTCAATACTTAACACTCTAAATTACTTGAAAATCTAGGTTAGTTTACCTATGTAAAAATTGAAATGTAGTTATAATATATTTATTATTTATGTATATGTATAAGTATAAAGATTTTTTTTTTATATTATCGAAATGCAATATATTTTAACATTATAACTTATAATATATAAATTATACACTTATGTATAATATGTATATCGTTGAGTTATACGAGTGTAGGTATTATACTGTATACACAGCCCGGATTGTGTACAGGT